TATATATATATATATATATATATATATATATTATTTGTATTTGTATTTGTATTCGTTCTAGTTTTTATATTTTTATTTAGTATAATGATGTATAAAATATAAAAATAATATGATGGAGAAGTGAGAATGAAATATAAAATTGAAAAAGAGTACGAAAATTTTTATTGCAATCATTCTTAAATAAAATATAAATGTTAATAGCACTCATACCAGTTTGAATACGAATTGAATTTAGATACAAAAATTCGAAGAAAAACTATAAAAACAAATAAACTAATAGAAAGTTGTTCTTCTTATAAATTAAATACATAAGTAGTTGACATACTTTTGGGATGCAACATAAGATTTTTAATAAATACAAATTAGCGTTTTGAATACAAATTAAGAAGGAATACCAAATACTAAAAAATACTATAAATACAAAACAAACTAATAGACAATTGTTCTTCCTCAACTTGGTCTTCAACATGTTTTTTTAAATCTTCTATATCCAAATTTTTTTTCTTTTATTAATAGTGTATTTACTCTTTTAATATTACTATCTTGAACTTGAATGCGAGTAGAATCATGAAGAAACTTAGATCTTCTATCTTGAACCATTTTAGTTGCACAAACTACATTTTCGAATAATCTTGGAGTAATGCATAAATCAAAGAGGGGCAAAATTCCCAAAAGTTGATGATTATATGTGATACTTCTTATAGTCCTCTTTGAACCAGAAATTGAATTGCAATTTTTGTGTTTTTTCCTTTATTTAAAGTCTTAACTGAAAATAGGAAGATTGAAAAACACACAAAAATCTAAAAAGTATCAAACGAAAATATCAAACAATAGAATAAAGATGAACACATTAATCAATGAGATTGTTGAGAATTCAATTTCTGAAACCAAAAAAAGGAAAGAGTGATATGAGGAATCTAAAAAATGGGGAAAACGTGATATGGAGAATTTGAAAAATAGGAGAGAATGGAAGAGATAAATTTTAGAGAGATAAAATAAATTATTCTTTTTTTATGTTGGTAAGAATATATTGAGAGACATGTATTTTTTTTTTTTTTTTACTAGAAACGTGTGCTTTGTGAGAGAAATTAGAAAGTAATTTAGGAAACATTATTTTTTTAAAATAATAACATTTTTGACACTAATATTTTTAAAATAAAGAGATTTTCACTAAATATGTTACTTTTTTAAAACTAGTTTACTAATTTTTCTAATATTTAATTCCCAAAAGTATGATAATTAGTTTAAGTTACCTAAAAGATGGAAAATGTTTATGCAACTTTAGAAGGTACTAATGCTTAAGACCCACATAATCTTGTGATTTTTTTAAAAAGGAAAAAGAAAATCAAAGTCAATCACATTTTTAGAGGCTCCTTATCAAATAATAATTCACATTAAAATTGTTTTATTATCATTATAAAAGATGAAATAATTGGCTCTTATCAACGTTCAATTTTGTTTAAATCTAATTATCTTGCAATGGTGGGACCAATAATAAGTAAAATAAGACACTGGTTTTAAAGCAAACAAACAATAAATAAAATTGAACTATTAGTAACAATATGAGCCACGAGTTGGTAAGAGGCACTATGTTTTAGTTACTTTCTCCGTCCGTCTCAATTTATCTAATATATTTCATTTTTTAGAGAATAAAATAATTTAAATATGATTGAAATTTTTTTACAAAATTTTTAAATTTTTAGAAAAGAATTTAATAAATTTTTAAATTACGTAAAAATACTATAAGTCATTATAATTGACAATTTAAAATATTTAAAATTTATATATTTATAAACTACATATATACTATTATATTTATTTGTTTATGTTTGACTTATACATCTCTTAAAAAGTGCTCTTATTAAATAATTTTACTATATCACTTTTAATTATTATAAATAATCTAAATATTAAAAAATAAATAATATTTAATAACAAGAACAAAAAATTGACACAGAATGATAAATTATTTCTTAATTCCTTTTTACTGTATAAATAAAAATGAATATCTATGGATAATAGTTGACAGATAAAAATATAAAAAGGGTATCGAAGAAATGAATGTAGTACACAACGATTTGTTTAAAGAAGAAACTGAAAGAGAACAATTATTTCCAAACAAAGGAATACAATTATTGAAAATGCAAACAAAGAAACAGAATTATGGATTTCCATTAAAATGCATTCAAAAATAGAGGGCCCTTCCAATCTTGCCTGTCTCACTCTGATTCAATTATGAGGGGGATGTTTTTAAACCAATCTTTTTTATGCAGTATCATAATTGAAAGACAAAAATGACCTCATTAGTGATATCTCTTGTAATTATTATGGGTACAATAAATTATCTTTGGATTTTCAAATTGAATAAATATGGTTAGAAAACTATTTTTAGTATAATGAATAAATAAAATAAATGAAATTAATTGTTGCTGAACCTCAGGTTGCAAAAATGTAAGAAATATATTAATCTTTTGACTAAGTGCTGCTTAAATGGATAATCCCTCACTTGTGGCCATGGAATAATTTGTCCCTATCAGTATTTGTATCGAAAAACAGATAAAGAAAATGTATTTTATTCATAATATTATAATTTATTTTTTTATAACTATGATTAAACTATTTGATTTAACGTTCATAGAGAGTACCTTTAGATTTAATGTGGAACTCATAAAAGTCGTCGGCTAAAATAAATTAGGGAAAGATACTTATAACAACGCCCCTCTTCTTTCAATATCATTACTATACAAGGAGAATCAAGTATCAACAATAATTACTCTCTTCATTCAGTTTTACTTGTCAATAATAATTTAATTTATCTTTTAAGAAATAATAAATTAAATGATATTTTATAGTATTTAATAATAAAAATAAAGTAAATATCAAATAATAAAATTATTTTTTAATTTTTAAATTAAACAAATCTTTTTTAATATACTAAAACAAGTAAAAATGGACGAATGAAGTATTACTTAAAAAACCAAAATTGAGAACCTTTTCAAGCTTACTTTTCTTTTTAATCTATTAAAAAAAATTATTTTTCTTTTTATATCAATTCTCTAATTTTAACTTTTTATATATCATGTTTAAAATCATAAAATTTTAAAAATATTTTAAAAAATTTAATATATAATTTTTATTTAAAATTATAAAAAATTATTTTCTTGAATTTAATATCATATCAAAATCATAAAAACAAATTAAACGAGAGTAAAAGTTTAACACTTAAAAGTCGTTTGGTGTGATTTTGAGAAATAGAAATAAATAGTGATAGAATAAAAATTTTGTATCTTGTTGAATTATCATGTTTGAGATAATATATTTAACTATTTATATGATAAAAATAAAATAACTTATATCATATATATGATGTGATAAGTTATCCTAACATAATTAAACGAGAATAACTAATTTTTAAGATAATTTGTTCTCAAACAAGTTAGAGACATTTGAGAAGCACATGAAAAAGAAGTGAAAATTTTAGGTGGAAAATAAAAGGGTTTGGCAGAAAAAAGCCATTAATATAGATGTACCCCTAAGGGTAGGGTCCAATAATTTAGTTTGGTTAATTACTTATTAATTAAAATAAGAAAGTTGAACTAGTTGAGGTGTCAAATGGCAGTTGACACATGCCCACACAACTCAACTCACAGACATCAATTACCTAAAACGAGGATCAACTACACAAATCCCTAAAATTTCAGACCAAATGCTCTAATTTTATCAATTGAAAATTCAACTTTTTAATTATACAACAATAAAATTATTTCTAAACTAATTACAACTAAATATGTGTGCTAAACATTATTTAATGACCTAGAAAATGTGACTAGTAATTTTTTTATTTTTATAATCATTATTACTTGGTTTCCCTAAGGTATTGATATTTCTTGCTTGGTAAAAAAGTTTGATGGAGAATCTCATAACTCTAATCCAACCAATAAGAGTTGCACCATTAATTGTCTCTTCTTCCTAATTACACCCCCAATAAAATAATAAATAATAATTTTAAAATCACTTATTTTAACTTGTTCATTATATTAAAGTTAATTGTCTATTTGATTTGTTTAATTTGAAAATGAAATAATTTATCATTTAATTTTCAATTTACTTTTATTATTAAATATAATTATTTTTCAATAATTTTTTCAAAACATTAAATTTTGATATAATAAAATTATTATATTTTTAACTTTTGAAGTGGTGTGCCTAAGTTAATTCTCGACAAGTAAAGGTGATAGAGAGTAGAGTGCTTACCACTTGTAATTAAAAAAAGGAGGAGTCTTTTTTTTTGGGCAATCTCTCTCTTAAATTATTCTAGGTAAGTGTATTTTCAAAAACAACAAAGAATAATTTTTATAGTGTTTAATAAAAAGCAGTCTAAAAATTAAAAAATTATTATTAATACTCTAATAATTATTCCCTTTACTAAATGAAAAAATGTTTTAGGAGTAAAATTACTTTTTAAATAAGATATAAAATAAAAAGTAATCTAACTAATACCGGTGTATACATTAGTTTGGTGTTAGTTGTTAAGAGTTCAAAGGTTATTAGCATTTAATATAATAGTGTAGTGTAATTGCTCACATGCTACCTGAAACGCCATGTTAATCTCACCTTCTTATGCTTACTCTGACACCCCATTTTTGGGCGTTTCTGCCTCTTCGTTGCTTCTTTCTCAATTCTCTCTCTCTTTCTTATTGCTTCAACTCATCTAATTTATCTTTCTACGTATTTTCTGCTTTTATGTTGTGAGGTTTGTTGTTGTTAGTCTATGGGATGGGTGGAGTGAAGCTGCAACTTGTTTGTTTGCTGCTGCAATTATGTGCCTTTGCTTTCTCTATGGGATCTGCAGGTAATTCTTCTCTTTCTCTACTTCTTCAGCTACCTATTTATTTATGAGTTTTGTGCTATGTAAGTTTAGTGTTGCTAATTTTGACTTCTGAAAAAAATACCTAGATTTGATAATTTTGTAGCACTCAAATCAGATTGATTCATCTTGTATGTGTGTGTGTGAGAGGAAATTGAGACTATTACATTCTGAATTTTGTTTTTATGCCAAGCTCAAATTTGTGCCTTAACTTCTTTAGCCAATTTAACTGTTTCATTGATCACTGATTTTCCCTTTAGAGGCCCTACTTATATTATTCTTCTTACCGGTTCCTTGCAAATTGATGCTGCAATGACTATATTAATCTGCCATGGGATAATTAGCCTGCTTTTATTTCAATGATGTGCCATCTTGTTGGGATGTATTTGCAAATAAGTTAACCAAACATGTAATGTAAGACCATGGTAAAAAAATGATTCACTATTCATGTTCATCATCCCCTCCGCATACGTTCTAATGCTTTATGATTGTAATTAATCTAAGTATGTTGAAAAGGAGGGAAATGATTTTGCTAATGTCTTTTTATTTGTCGTCGAGCTGTCATTTGCACTAAGATTTTTTGTGAAATGGAGAATCTTTTCAAATGAAGAACTGCATATCTAACCTAATATAATTTTTTTGGAATTCATTTTAGGCGTCCGTTTATCGCCCTCTCCGTCAGCATCCTCTGCAGTTCATCCTGTTGAAGAGGGAATACCCTTTTTTGTCTCTCATGGGAATGCGTCCACAAGTAATGCACCTGCTCCTGCATTAGAGTTGAATGGTCAGACGGTGATTCTTGACTTCCAAATCTATTAACCAAATTTGATGTTTTATGTTATTCATCTTATGTTTTTCTTTTTTTAACTCAGTAGCATCTCCTCCTGCAAATGTCTTTCCACCAATGATGTCCCCCACTATCCCTAAACCAATAGAAGTTCTTACACCGTCTCTGCAACCAAGTGCTCCTATAATATTGCCACCACCCAGTTCAGCTCCACCCACAATCAATTCAGCCCCACCACAAATTGCTTCTCTACCAGGTCCTCCTCCTCCAATAGTGTGGAGTGATCCCGCTCCAGTTCTGCCTCCGAGTGCTCCTAAGAGAGATCATCGACATACTGAACAGCCTGTTGTCGTTCCAGAAGCTCCAGGTATGTGGCTGACTGTAGTCATAATGTTCAAATGACTTGATTTCTGTTTAAGTTGATAGTTTTTTTTGGAGAACAGCACCAGTGTCGTCACCTGGAAGGAACTCTACTGAAGATGCACCAACTAAAACTCCACCGCTACCTGGATCTATGCCACCCAGTGAGAGCAGGTCACCAGAGGGTCCTCTCTCCTCAATTGCCCCAGGTAATTGTTGGCTGATGAGAATATCTTAACTCTTAAGATAGAAAATGATTATCACTTTTATTTTGTTTTGCTGTTAACTCAGTTTTGAATGCGCCTTCTCCAAGGGGAATGCCGAGAAATTCACTGCCCACCCTCCCAAGAAATCCAGAAATTTCACCATCCATTCCACCAGGTATCCTTGGCTTTTTTTCTAATATAAATTGTGACATTCATGTTAGAATAAAGTTGCAGATTAAATTAGATCTGATCTTGGATGCCATCAAATTTTGTACATTATTTTGTTTTGCTGTAATTTTGCTCAGTCCTGAATGCCCCTTCTCCAAGGGGAAAGCCACAAAATCCTCTGCCCACCCACCCAATCATTCCAGAAGTCTCACCATCTATGCCACCAGGTATTCACACTATATTTATATAGTGCTCCCTCCATTTCATTTTATATGGTGGTGTTTGATTGGGCACAGAGGTTAAAAAGAAAGGAAGAAAGACTTTCAATGCATACCAAAGGTAGCCTTAGAATCTGTCTTCTTAAACATATGATGATATTTTTATGGCTATAGGAGCATGTCATGAAAGGGTAAAATGGAAGCTTTAAGGTTTAAGAGTTTCTTAATATAGAAAAGTGTCATTCTTTTTAGAACATACTAAAAAGAAAGATTGTCATATAAAAATGGCACAAAGGAAGTATGTGATACTTCCTAACAAAAAAAATAAAGTGCAAATTAGATGTGATCATGAATGCATGAATTTTTACATTATAGAGCTTTCTCTCATTGCATTCAGTCCTTAATGCGCCTTCTCCAAGGGAAAAGCCACAAAATCCACTGCCTGCCCGGCCAACCAATCCAAAAGTTTCACCATCTATTCCACCAAGTATACTTCCTGCGTGTACTTAGTGAGTGATATTTCTGCAAATAAATTGTTTGTAAACAAGATCTGATCATCTATGTGTTGAATTTGCAGCAACATTTGCACCACCTCCGAGGAAGTTGCCTAACAATTCACCACCCAGCCATCCAAGACATCCTCTAAAACCTCCATCCATTTCACCAGGTAACAGTGCTTGCTAGTGTTGCTCATGTACATGTATTCTTCATATTTCAACCAAATACTTTTGGCATGATACAATTTACAAATATTCTTGGCAAGTGTACCCCAAGTAGTCACCTCCTCAGGTAAAAAACCAAATCGATAGAATCTTAACCAGAGGTTTGCTTGCTTCCAAATATTTAATGATTGTCAATGTAGAACTAGTTAAGAAAAATGAACTGATGCCTACTGAATATGTTCGGAGTTGAAATAGTCAGTACTCCTTTTTTTGAATTATCCTTGCCTTCAGAAAGATATAAGAATGTGTTTTATTTCGTTTTCCCATTTTCTGTTAAATAGCTACTTGGTTCTCAAAGTGGCATTGTCAGCATAGTTAATTTAAGTCAGTTTTATTATTGTAGTTAAGCATAATATATCCCCTGTATCAATTCCGTGGCCAAGCATCAACCGCAAAAGAGCAAGTGCTCCAACTGTTGCACCTACCAAGGGAATGAACCATCAGCATCCAGCAAAAGGTATGTCAATGCATTTCTGCTATCATTTCTTCTCATCAGCAGCATGAGGAACGGCCAATTATGTCACTGAAGGATTACTTTTCCTCTCGTCGCTCATACTGAACACAAAGCCATGGGGTGCTCTACTGATGCTCTTCCTCATAAATACCCTAATTCTCCCCCTGTGGAAGTATCATATCCTCCCTTATGTGCACCTTAAGTCTCATAAGAGGGATCACTACCTAAAAGATAATATGACAGAAATCACTCTGTCATCCTATGAAGGTTATCCTCCAGTTTCAACTGAACTAGGTCCTGTATCTTACCTGAGAAATGTCAGTTCATATACTCATTCTGATATACGACAGTAACCAGAATTCAGTCAATAACTGATGAACGTGTATTGATTTCTCCATCTCCTTTGTTTCATTTCACTCAAAATCATATCCAAAGACCCTTGGGCACCACTCGTTCACTTTTAACTGCAGGTTTGTGATCATTCTAGTCATCCTCAGTTGACTATCCATTTGCCTCTCTGAAAGAAAAATGAATAGCGAAAAGAAAGAAAGTGATTCTGATAACTCCTCCTTTACAGGATTGTCGGTACCACCGGTGCTTGCACCTTTAGCTTCTCCGGAGAGTCATGATTCTCCTGCAATATCATCATCTCCAAGTGCTTCATCTAGACCAACTAAAAGTAAGAGTATGTCATATCTTCCCTTTTCATGCAATCCATAGTCAAGGCATTAACCTTATATTTTATTTTTATTCCTATGCATGGTTAATGCTTATCTCTATATCATCTGTCATTGCAAGAGCCATTTCTTTCCCCTAAATTCTCTCCCTCTGGGTCTTCACCAAGGCATCCAAAGATACCGCATCCATTTCAGGCACTACCACCTCCACCTCCTAATGAAGGTACCTTTTATCTGCCTCTGCTTGCTCTTCTAAATGATATAGATTTTACATGCCCAAGTTGCCAGCTGTTGCCCCATTGACTATTCTAAACATGATGCCGATGTTGCAGATTGCGCATCATTGGCTTGTGCTGAGCCTTTCACAAATGGTCCACCCAAAGCACCTTGTGTTTGTGTCTTGCCCATGCGAATTGGACTACGCCTTAGTGTAGCACTCTACACCTTCTTCCCTTTGGTTTCAGAGTTAGCTACAGAAGTTTCTGTTGGGGTATTTATGGATAAAAGTCAAGTTCGTATAATGGGAGCAAATTCAGCTAGCCAGTACCCAGAAAAGACCATTGTCCTTATTGATTTGGTACCCCTCGGAGAAAAATTTGATAACATGACAGCATTTGTGACATCACAAAGATTCTGGCACAAACAAGTTGTTATAAAATCATCACTTTTTGGTGATTATGATGTATTATATGTGCAATATCCAGGTATAGAATCATTCCAAATGCTATTGTGTCATCTTGATGACACATGCTATGTGTTGAGTAACTAAATAGAATTGTTATATGTACAGGTCTTCCTCCCTCTCCACCTTCAGCAGCTTCAGACATTGATACCATAAGTAGCCAACCATATCCTGGTGATAATAACGGAAGGACCATACAGCCTCTTGGAGTTGATGTGAGGGGGCAACAGCACAAAAGTGGGCCAAGTCGGAGTGTCATAGCAGTAATTGTGCTGTCAGCCTCTGTCGCAGTTATTTTATGTTGTGCTGTTGCATGGGTTTTGCTTTTCAGACATAGAGATCACGGATATCAGTTAGAACCAACTCCACCAACTACATTACCATCCCTTGCAAAGTCATCAGGTGAAATCCTTCTCTTGACATGTAAATGATCTACTGCCATGTGGTTTGCCTAGTGTTCGTATTGTCTGCGTTAGTTTCTTCATTCATGCTGAAAGACATTGAACCAGTAAAATTCAGAAGCCTAGCCCTTCATTATCGCTGTGCCTTTGTAGCATGCCAGGTAAATACTATGTGAGGGAAAAGTAAATCATGTTGGAGTTTTGAATATGCTATTTGTTGCTCAACTCAGTTACTTTTACTACTTATCCTGAGCATACAATGGAATGAAATGGAATATAGGAAAAGTTATCTGGTTAGTTGCATAATGTTAATATGGTGTATCTCTTGAATGGAATATCTTGAAGTATCAACTCTTAATGGGTGCATACAGGAACCTTTAAACTTCACAAATTTATTAATATGCATCTAAAATGTGTACAAATATGTGATTCTCACGAGTCTTGTGTAATAAAGATGATTGTTATGCATGATATAGGGATTGCAGCCTCCATGATTGGGAGTAGGCTGAACTCTCCTACATTATCCTTTAGTTCAAGCTTTGCTGCTTATACTGGTTCAGCTAGAACATTTTCTTCAAAGGAAATTGATAGAGCAACTGACAGCTTCAATGAAGCAAGAGTACTAGGTGAAGGGGGATTTGGTCGTGTTTATAGTGGTGTGCTTGATGATGGGGTGAAAGTGGCAGTGAAAGTCCTCAAGAGAGATGACCAACAGGGTGGTCGTGAATTTTTGGCTGAAGTAGAGATGCTTAGCCGCCTCCATCATAGGAACTTGGTCAAGTTGATAGGTATATGTCTTGAGGAGCGCAGTCGCTGTTTACTTTATGAGCTCATCCCAAATGGCAGTGTGGAATCTCACCTTCATGGTAATATTCAATTTGGATCACTCATTAACTTATTTGGTTGAAGCCATGTGAATTTAGATTTCAGATTGGCTACAAACTGTCTTTCAGGTGTTGACAAGGAAAGTTCTCCACTTGATTGGGATGCCCGAATGAAAATAGCACTCGGTGCTGCCCGAGGCCTGGCCTATTTACATGAAGATTCCAGTCCCCGTGTCATACACAGGGATTTTAAGTCTAGTAACATCTTACTGGAACATGATTTCACCCCAAAAGTGTCTGATTTTGGTTTGGCTAGAGCTGCATTAGATGAAGGAGAAAGACACATATCCACTCGAGTCATGGGAACTTTTGGGTAAAATATTCATCTGACTTAATATTTGTATTTTCATTAGGCCAGCCTTCGTCCGGTTTATGACTGACAAAGGTCCAAACCTCTTAAGCAGATCAGCTGCTTCATGCTGGTCTGCTTTCCTGGAGTATAATTTTTTTCCTTTTGAATGTCTTATTTATTTTTACTCGAAAGGTGTTATTACATTGTTAACGGATTGTCCTCAATCAATTGAAATTGACTATGCATAACAAAACCCGTTCTCTTATCATTTTGTTCCTCTGTTGTACACTTCTGACTTTGTTATTTTACCAGGTACGTGGCTCCAGAATATGCTATGACAGGGCATCTACTTGTAAAGAGTGATGTTTACAGTTATGGTGTTGTCCTGCTTGAGCTGCTAACTGGAAAAAAGCCAGTGGATATGTCTCAGCCACCAGGTCAAGAGAATTTGGTCGCTTGGGCACGTCCACTCCTAACGAGTGAAGAAGGTCTGGAGTTGATTATGGACCGTAATTTGGGGCCTGATTTCCCTTTTGATGACATTGTAAAAGTAGCTGCTATTGCGTCAATGTGTGTTCAACCAGAGGTGTCACACAGACCTTTCATGGGTGAGGTTGTCCAGGCCTTAAAGCTGGTATGTAACGAATGCGGACAGACAAAAGACGTAGTGTCTCAAAGTTGTAGCCAAGATGATCTGTCTATTGACATGGATGCTGGGGTTAGTACAACTTCAAGCCAAGTGCTAAACCCTATACAACCTCAATCCCCGGTTTCTAACTCTGACAGTGAGCTGGATGTTGAGAGGGGTCTTTCAATGTCAGATTTACTGAGTCCATTAGCAAGATATGGACAGCAAGAATCTGGTTCATTTAGGAGGTACTCTAGCTCAGGTCCTCTGAGAAAAGGAAAAACTAGGAGGCTATGGCAGAAAATGAGAAGATTATCTGGAGGTAGTTTGAGCGAGCATGGCGTGATGTTTGGGTTACGGCCTGGATCCCACTAATTGAAGTTTTCATCTTTGACTTTGATAAATGTTTCACCATCCATGCCGGATATACTAGATTGAGCATGGAATTGTACAGTATCTTCTTATGAAGACATATAATGAGGAAGCAAACACCAATATACTCAAGTTGTCCTGAATGCTATCGCGTAATCCATGAGTATGATAAGCCCTCCGCCAAAAGCTGGGAAGAGATATCTGAATACGGATTTCTTCTTATGTAAGAAGATTGTATTTATTGTAACATGCTAATTGTTCATAAAAGGAATCATAGTTCTTTATCTTCTGGTATTGAGTTTGAACCTTGAGAGGCAAAAGAGTAATCTGCTGCTAGGATGTTATCCTTTGAACTCTCCTCTTCCACAATGACATTTTCAATTGAAAAACAGCATGTGTTTACTAGGCTTCCCCCCATAGTTCCAACTTATCACAACTCTTCTTATCACACAAACATTTTTGGGTTAACCCAACACCTTCTAGTAACAAACGCCCATCATTCTTTGGATTAAGAAAAGCGTCTTCCCATCTTTCGTCCAAAGATCCATTTTTGCTTCGAGGGAACTCAAACAAACGAGAGAGGATATTTTAGGTATGAAACTCATACTCTCAATAGTCTAAGTAAGAACTCAAAAAAAAAGAATATATTGTTGAAACTAACCATTTGGTTAAAAGGTGTTAATTAGAAAATTTAAAATCTTATTAAGTGTAAAATAAATACCTAATAATTATTATGGTAAAAAAGATAAATATATTCTCGCACTTTTGAAAATGGTATGTCAATACCCTTCGTCATATTTTCCATCCATTAGAGCTCTTGATGTCCAATAATCAATGCACAATTATAAGCCACAATCCAAGTTGACCAATTATCTAACCCAAATTTTAAGAACCCGCCCATAACCCATTTAACCCAACCGATTTATCCACAAATAAACTATACATCAAGTTCAGTCAATGTACCGGCCACCGCCATCGGAGACACCAAAAATTAATCCCATTGTGTTAAATCTTATGTCTCACTAGTACACACCCTATAATATCATGTACATAGGCCCAAAATTCCTATCAAAATAGTACTAAATAATTGGATACATTACTGGACTTCCGGATACATCACTAGACTTTCAAATAGTTTAGCAGACATCTGGATACATAGGTGAGAGATGTATGCGAGAGAGGATAGGACATTCGGATACATCCCTGGATTTTCGAATACATCAACAGACATCCAGATACATAGGTGAGGAGTGTATCTGAGAGGGGGATAGGGATGTATCAACGAGAGTGAAGTGATTTATCCAAGAGGAAATTTTTGAATTTTTTTGAAGGGATAATTGTATATAATAGCAAACTAATAACCTAAAATAAATGGAGTAGCTACGGTTTGATTTAATTGTGCTCCATTGCAAACGTTAGCCAAAGTTTGCCAGTCGCCTCTCTCCCAAAAATCTCACTCGCCACTCTCCCATTCTCGTTCGCCACTCTTCCTCTGCTCGCCTCTCTCGCTTTATACACAGAAGTGTATAAATTGTGTTTCTGTTTTGTATAAAGCGAGAGAAAATTGTATATACACACGCAAAGACATATATTTTCGTGCTATACACTTAATTATACAATTTACAAATATTTTACTTCAATCAATTGTAGACAAATGCAAATTTTATACAAATATTGCAGCGAAAAAGACCAACGAATTATAAAATTGAAATACAATTTTCTCTCGCTTTATACAATAGAAGTGTATAAATTGTGTTTCTGTTTTTGTATAAAGCGAGAGAAAAACATATATCTTCTTCCTATACACTTATAATTATGCAATATACATACATTTTACTTCGGTTCAATTGTATGCAAAGCAAATTTTATACAAATATTGCAGCGAAATAGACAGCGAATTATACAATTGTGCATTATACAATTGGAGTGAAATAGGATAGCGAATTATACAATTGCAGCGAAATAGACCAGCGAATTATACAATTTAGCCCAGCGAATTATACAATTGTATATGTATAGCGAATTATACAGTTTTATGTTTGTTGTGGAGCGCAATTATGCAAACTTTGCTATAGCATACAAATATGAATTTCTTGTTTGCTATATGTGAAAGTTGTCCTTTTTTAAATGATAGAAAATTTTAGAGATTATAATAAAATAAGATGTATATTACAATATTTTTTCCTAAATAGTACCATACATAATACATAAAATATTTATCATATACTTTACTAAATGACCCTCAATAAAATAGAACAAATTTTTTTTTTTCCAAAAATGCCCTTATTAAAACCGACACAGAAAACATGTCTGCTTCACCATCAAGTCTCCTATATAATAAGAGAATATCAGTAGTGATACATATTCTATACGACAAAGACATGGTTCTATACACATGCAAAAATTAGTTGAAAAAAAAGACTACAAAAGACTCAAAAGTGTTTTTTAAGCTTCTTGGTCATCCAGTGTATTTATGTCTTTGTCCCATAAATTGTTGTTTTCATTTTGCTGATTGTCACACAATGATATTATTGTCATTTATGCAAGTTAAATTCATTCACTCATAAATATGAGTCCTCGTTACTGGTTTGAGTGGTTTCCTTGAACCTAGTTATTTATTGGTAGTATCTTGTATCTATGGCTGTTTCGTAGAGTAGGAGTGACAAAATCAAACTCAATTAATTTAAGTTTGGACATATTATTAATTTGCTCATTCATTAATTTTTAAATATGATTCAATAAAATTGGGTTGATAAGTACCCGAATCGGCTCATGAGAAATTTGGTCATATCTTTTAAAAAAAAAAAACCTTTTTCAACTTGATATGCTATATATAGCCATAAAAAGAAAATATATATATTTAACAGATATTAAAATATTTTAAAAGAACAAATAAAACAATTAAGCTTTGAAATTTGGGGGACGTTTGGTATGAAGTAAAATGTTTTCCTGAAAATTTTCTTAGAAAACAAGTGATTTTTTCCCATTTATAGTTGGTGAGTAGAATATATTTTCTGAAAATATTATTAAGTGTTTGGTTGGGGAACGAAAAAACATTTTTCCTAATTTTTTTTTATTGTTAGTTAGAGAACAGAAAATAATTTATGATTCAGATGCGAACCTCTTTGATCTGCAACGCGACCATGACCTCGACCCCGACACTCAAACTAAAACACAACCCCGATAACCAACCCTAAGATTTGACCCAGGATCCAATCCCGACTTCCAATCTTCCTTACGCCTACAAGCTAGGATTTCGCAAGGGAAAAGTAGCCAACATGTGATAGAAACATTGCGACAAGGAATAGAAAGGTGTCTCTAGTATATTGCTCTTTCTTTTCCTTTCCTGGGCTAGGTAATCGATAATGAAATATCCGAGACATTTTCTACTTAGTGGAGTCAACTTAAATCAAAACCCGGCATTCGAACTGGGACAACATATCCAACCTAAGACCTAACCTCGATATCCAAACCTGAACATAATCGATCAATTTGAGATTTGATTCCAACACCTAAATCGAGATTGCTTTCCCAATCAAGACCCCAACAAATCACAATCGACGCAAAATCCAAGATTCGACTTTCTAGTTGAAAGTCGCCCTATTTCCAATCCACGACCTAACCACACCCAACTCTGAGCGTAACTCTCCAATTGAGATTTCCTCTTTTTGAAAAAAGTAAAATAAAATTTCAAATTTCTTTTTTTTTCTGTGTATTGAGGGGCGGGGGCAGAGTAGGATTGGATAAGAAATAACAATTCGAAAGTATTTGTTTTGGTCGGAGGGGGGCTGGAGCTGGATGGAGTAGGGTACAAGAAATTAAAATATGTTAAAGAAAGAAATTTTTACTTTTACTTTTTTGATGGGAGGATCAGGGTGAAAGGAAAAAAAACTATAAACTTGAAGTTCGAAGGAAAGTTTTGAAAAATAAAGAAAAGTCATTTTTTTATAAATTTTAAGAAAGTGGTATTTTCTTCATACCAAACACACCCATGGCCTTAGACCCATTATATAACTCAATACCTAACTCACGTAAATTTAGGTCCTGTTTGGATGAGCTTAATAAAAGTAGCTTTAAAAAAATACTTTTGAAAGTGCTGAAACTTATTTTTAAAATAAGCAGTTATGCGTTTTGGATAGAAGTGCTGAAGTTAAAAAAAAGTTGTTGATGTGTTTGGCAAATAAGTGCTAATAAACAGCTTTTTAGATCAAAATGTCTGAAATACCCTTAAAAGCTGTTAACATAATAAAAGTTAATTAATTTATATTTTACAGCCATAAATAATTATATTTTGCTATCATTCACATATTTCTTTCTCATCACAAATTATTTATAAGAGGAATATAAACTTATTATAGATTTTAAAGATATATAATTTGAATAGATTAAAGAACGATTTAAGATTTTATTTTAGTTTCATCCATAGGTAATAATAATTGTCTATTATTCACATATTTCTTTATTATCACAAATTATTTATAAGAGGAATATAAATTTTTATTTAAGTTATATATGCAACTTATTTTACATTTTAATAATATATAATTTGAGTAGATCAGTTGAAAGATTTAAGATTTATTTTATTTTTCATTCATTAGTAATAATAATTGTCTATCATCCACACGTGAAAATGGAAAAATAGAAGAAAGAGATGTTAAGGTTATGCGGATAATTTGGAAATTGTATAAAAATATTAAGGGCAAAAAGGTAAAAATGTGATCAACTTAAAACAGCTTTAAGCTGGAAAAAAAAGCACCCCTACCCCAGCTTTTAACTTTTGGCTTAAAATAAGTTTTTTTTTTAACTTTAAATAAGTTAATTTGAGTATTGTCAAACAACTAAATAAGTCAAAAACCAGCTTTTAAGTCAGTTTGACCAGCTTTTAAGCTGAAGCCAAACAGGCTCTTAGATTGAGCTAGATGTTGATCCAACCCATCCTAGATGAACGGACTTGAAACAAAAAGCATCATGCTAAATAAGAAAATGCAAAACATCAAGGAGCAAATTAGCACAGATGCAGTACATACAACAACATGCTCTACAGTCTTTGGTAGTTTGAGGCTTGCTGTCTACTAGCATAGTTACCATTTCCCAGCATATCTTTTACATGCAAATATAAATATGCTCCATTCCAACTATTACACATACTGTTTAACTTGTATAATAATACTAATGGCATCTCTACTGCCTACTATTGCTCAAAAATAACACTCATCAGCCTTTGCACTTAGGGGTACACTTGCCCACATGGTCCTTGAAATGTTGCATCTCAGCCAAAACTTCAGCCTTCGGCCGGTACAACATATCAATCATACGCCATATCTGTACAATCCAATAAAAAATTAGAGCCAAACTAATTATATCATATCATACTCAAAATGCCAGCAACAGAAATGATTATCTACCTGTAATGTGCCCCCTCCACCAGAGGTCTCTGCATCATCAGATACACTAACAATAGTCCATGGATCACAAGCATTCCAGTGAAAGTCCACAATCTTATCCCTGGGTCAAACTCAAAAAAGTCAGTTGGTACTCATTGCTCACGATCCAAAACTAACTACCATAAAACTTTAGAATTTATCACTATCCCCCTTCCTCCTTAGAAGAAAGAGATTAGAAAACAAAAATAAATAGACTAGGTAGATTGATTTATATTCTGTTTTGTTTCAAGTCCAAAAGGGAAAAAGAAACAAAACCAAGAAGCAGCAACCCCAGTGTAAAGGGGTTCTTTCTAACCTGTGGCCAGCATGCTGAAAAAACAAGCCTGGAGGAGACTCCTCTTCATCTTCATCAGATTCAATATCAGAATCTTTTGCTGCGCCAACCTGTGAAGAAAATCAACTAAAACTATTAAGGAGAACTACTTGCTTATAAATATATGAATATAGAACACATCTCAATTCATCATTAGGCTGCTTCTTTATTTGAATGTGCACCAGATACCCACTACTAATAAATACATAATAACTCATACTACCAACATCTAAGCCCCACCAGTCAAGAAGGAATTTTACAAACTTGGAACATTTTAGACTAACGAATCATTGCCTTTATACGATAAAGCATCAAAGGCCCAACAAGATAATAAATTTGATAAGTAATCACCCCTGTGTAAGTATATCATGAGCAGATCTCATTTTGCTTCTTTTTCTGTGAAAGGTATTAGTTGGAATTTAAGATTCCATCTTAACATTTTAAAATGTGTTACCCACTCTCCCCTCCCTTTTGCATTGGAGAATGTACAGTTATCATGTATCTTTTGCAAACACTTCGCTATCCAAAGACTAGCAGTGTAACAGAAGATGAAGATCACACAGCAGCATTTACAAATAAAAAAGCTTCTTCAAGAAGCTGGACTCCCAGGGGAATTGTAATAATTTCAACTAGAGGAATAACACACAAGAGGGAAGGGATAAATGGGAGAAATAGACGAGTCTGAGGAAGTTCCAAGGACAGGAGTATCTATACCTTCTCATAGTCCCAAATATTTAAGAGACCATCCTCTGCACAGCTCCCAAACACAGAAGACCTATTCGGACACCACTGTAAATGAAAAGTCATCAGTTAACAGCAATCTAAAGCAGAGGTATCAATAAACATAATTTCACTGATTAACAGAACACAGCAAATGAAATACCTGAACACAGAGAACTGCAGCTGTGTGATGTTCAAACATATGTACTGGTGACCCAACCCCATCTGAAGTCAAATTTCGCCGGTCAAATAAGCGTACTGAATTATCAGCGGACCTGAGTGACACTAGGTTAGGTAAGATTTTTGTAACTAGATAAACTATATGAACTAAAAAAAAACGTCCAAGCAGGCGTGCGCACCTACATGACCACTGATGAGTGATATTATACGAATTCATGATATAACATACCAGTAATGGAAAATTGGTCATTTACAAGAAAAAGAAAAGACAGTTGTAGCAGCATGCCCCATTAACAGCCCCATACATGACCACTCTTCCTTCTTTTTTTTTCTTTCTTTTTGGGTATTGCACAGTATCTTCTTAATTTATATAATTTTACTATATAACATCATACCCAGTTAATATATAACATCATACCCAGTTATGATAAGATTGTCATTGTGAGGATTCCAATCGACACAATGAAGATCAGCATCATGAGCTTTCTCAACCTGTAAAACAGCAACGACCATTATCCCATTAGGTTCTTTGGATATTTCTTATGAAGGATTATCGACTGAAATTTGACGATCAAGCGTATCTTAAAAACAACTTTATAGAAACGGCTATATGATAGATTAGAACTACATTTGGGACAAGACACCATATTGGTGCTAGAATGAGACAATCTGTTACAGATAATGACGGCAACAAGACATGAATATCTAGGAAAAGCTGACACAGTCATGCTCGAAAGGTAGATATATTGGTATGAACATAATTGAACTATGTTAAATCATCACTTGACCATTAGAATTGCTAAGCTAACATATGCTATCTGGGAAAAGCTAAATATTGCCATGCTCAGAAGGTAGAAATTTTGGTACAAAGATTGGCTTATGTTTTAACATATGTTCAAGAAATCATCATTCAACCATTGGAACTGCATTCAAGATATATCTTCAGAAACGTGAGATGAGTTGCACATTTAGCAGTTTCGGCTCATGATAGCCTACCTATTCCTATATCATTAACAATCTCTCTGAAAGATGAAGTTTGCCATTAAACAATCAAGAAAGTAATCACCAGACCTTTACAGCAGGATTGTTACCAACACGAGCATCCCACAATATGAGGCATGAATCATCACCAACACTACAGAATTCCTGGGAACTTCATGAAGGTTAAAACAAAATGTCAGCTTCAGAAGACTGGTCAGATACTTCAAAACACGTTAATCTCGCAGGTCGAACGCTTATTCACCCTTTCTGCTAAGGATATCACAGAAATCAGAAGCTGTATCAAGAACAAAATGTTTTAGTACACTGATAGCAGAATCGCAGCTTATCTTTGTTCTTGTCAGTGACTCCGGAATGTTCCAAAACATCAGACAGTGAAACTTAAAAGTTTGAATTGAACAGTTGCGCTTTGATGTTTAAGTTTTCACTGTCTGATGTTTATGTGGAACATTCTGGAGTAACTGACAAGAACAAAGATAAGCTACAATTCTGCTATCAATGTACTGTATAATCCAAAGGGAGGATGTAGCAAGCACATGAAGACAAGCAATTGGGAAGCAACAGGTAGAGCTCAGGGAATAAGATAAATTTTTAATATTTCTCTCCCTGGATGATTACCAAAGAAGAACCAAGGAAAATATGAAGACTTTACCATCAGAAGCTCTAATAACCCGAGCCTAATTTGTAAGCCTCACTCCACCCAGACAACCTCCCACAGGATCCAGCAAAGAAATTAAGACATTCAAGTCGACATTACCTTGAAGGACAAAACTGAACATCTTCAACGGTATCCGCATGGCCATGGAAGATACCACGTGGTCCAATAGAAGGATTATCAGCAGACTTAATTATAGAGCCACCAGATCCAGCAGACTTGGTTGCATCTGCTGCCAATGTTGAAATGTGATCTTGAATGCTCCATAATACAACAGTCTTGTCCTTCCCTGACAGAAAATGATCTCAAATGAGGAAATACCAGAAGTGGCTAAATCACTTATAACCCACTGAATTATGATATTAAGTTCCAGACAGCATCTTAGGGGATGCAACATCAGACCATAAGTTCATAATATGATTCTAAATACTACTAGAACAAGTAGCTTTTATGAACCTTACATATCTAAAACTGTATCGGATCAGATGGAGTCTAATTTGGTACATAAGTTGGGCAACACGAGTACCTGATTCTAAAATATAACTAGATGAGAAAATTTAAGAATTAGA